CCATAATAAGTGTCATTGCAAACAATGAGAGAGTTACTGTATTACTTTTTGTTGAGCATTACTGTATTATCTGATCTTGAGTATTACTGTATTAACTTTTCTTGAACATTTTTCAATGCAATTCCAGTAAAATTACAGAATTGAATCAGATAAAGGCTTATGGTAGAGCGTATTTTGTTTATTTATTCATATATTCTGGTCTTGAATTCACACTGTCGTTCTTCACTCATCTACGTTTTCAATACGATAGGTTGGTGATGCCCTATTCTGTCGACTCATTTGTTGAGTGATTTTGATAATATTTTGAGGGTCAATCGACAGTTACTGAAAACATTTCATCCAAAAAATGTATGAATAGCTAATTTCATCTAAATTATTGATTGTGTCTGCTATAAATTTCAGCATGCAACAAGGTCGTATGTACTTAATAGCGGGTATAATAATGATGCTGCTGCAAGGTGGTTTTGTACGGAGAATTGCAGCCAGTCATCACCATAACGCTGTTTTAATTGCAATTTCGATCCTTATTCCGGCATTTGTTTGTATCGCATTTGCATACACACAACATTTGTTTTATTGCGGACTTGTGCTATTTGCAATCGGTATGTTTTCGTTGTTATCATTCTGCTGATTGCAGCAAATTGCACTACTGAGACTTCTTCATTGATATGATAAAAGTGATATCGATATGTGATTTCAGCATCAGCCATAGTGATACCTTGCATGACATCGTGTGTCACCAATTTATCATCAACATCAGCAAGAGGTGCGACAATCGGTGTGTTCCGATGCATCGGTGCATTGGCTCGAGCTATCGGGCCTTTATTTGCTTCTACAGGTTTACACTTTCGCATATCGTTGTTCCAATTTATTTCTATTGATCAGCGAATGAAAACTCTCTCGTCAAGTATTGCAAACCCGTTGAATGATGAAAATATGATGAAAATATGTCTAAATCAGCGTTCCAGTCAGCTTAAAACATCCAATGATAATGGTTTATTCGGCATATCATCACAAAGGTAAAAGCTATTCGAATATAGATAATGTGATAAATTTTTTGCAGTGTTTTGGATAGGTGGACCATCAATATGTTACGTTTTGGGTGGTTGTGCACTTATTGTACCGATGCTGATGATCAAACGGGTGAAACATGCAAAAACTTCGTGAATTGATCGATTTTGTTATTATTTGTGATTGAAACGATTAATCTGAATGTTATTTGTTTACTGTTTGTAATTAATAATCTCTGATTGAGTGACTGCTCATGTATCGGGTTAAGGAATAAGTCCATAATGTGTACGATTGGATTATGAAGGTATCATTCGTTAAGAGCTTTTAGCGAACAACGAAGCACAGTCAGAGCACACCTCTATGTTTCCTCCTAAGTAACTGACGAATCTAATGAAACTGCAATGATTTATTCCTCAAGCCGATAATTTGTATAAAAAGTAATCTTAAAAGTTGTAAACTGAACACTTCTACGTGATGCTATTCATCTAACAGATTAGTATTTATAATCCGTTTCGTTGCTTTCATCCATCAACAATACATCACTAAATGTTAACTTGATTCACAATTTATCACGGATAGAATACCACTAATTATCTGTGTATTTGTAATACTGTTCATTTGTAAAGGTGGGATACAATCTACTGACTGTAT